CATGCGAGCTGTCTACAGAGGACAGAAAGAGGATCTCTCGGGCTTCTTTCAGGCCACATCGCCATGCTTTACCTATACTTCTTCCCGTATCGCTTTCTCCCGTCCGTTCACTTTCTCGCCTCCATATTCTTCCCGGCTCCTTGGCCGCCTCTAATATACTGCACGTTCTAGCTTCGTATCATGGTCCTTATAAGACGTCAGCCGCCAGGGCCTTCGCATTCTGAAATTCCTATCGTGATGGAGCATACTCTCCGGTGCAATGTGCTGAAATGCCGCAATGAGCTGGGCGATCGTGCCCTCGTGACGACTTGTTAGTAAGTTTGCCTTCGGCTGTCTGTGTCTGGCTTTCTGCCTTGGCTTGGAAGTTCGACTAGGCGTCTACTATGTAGTACTCTTCGACTACTAATCAATGCTCTATTGGTTCAATAGCCATATATTCTGCGGTGATTGTGCCAGTCGCCTGGGACTAGCCAACCAAAGACGAGACCACGCCATTGCCTGTCCGGCCTGCGGCACGCACTTGACTAACCCTGATGATGCCGTTGTCACGAACCTCAATCCAAGCGAGGACTACAAAACCAGTGTTTTGAGCGGCCTGAATCCCAACGTGATAATTGATTGCGCCAGCCGAGCCCTCAGCTTCTGGGCCTACCAGGTCACCCAAGAGATGTAATTCTCTTTTTTGCTTCCGCGTACGAGCGGAATCTACAAACACACTGACAAAATGGCTTAGCATCTATCAGCAGCATATGTCCAAGACGCTGACAGACAAGTACGCGAGCCTAAATGTTCATCTGGATAAAGTTGTCAACGAAGCCAACGCCGAGATCACCAATTGTCACAATAAACTAACAAGTATGGTCCCGGTATATAGTTATTAGTCTGAAGGCGCTCCCACTGACGCACACTAAGGCGCGGAGGGCGACCGAGATGAGCTTCGTAAGAAATATGACGAACTTCTTCAAGTCTGTAAACAGAAGAACAGAAAACTTCTACAAACCCAGGAGTTATATGACAAATTGAAGCGAAAAGCGATGCTTGGCCAGGTCCAAGACGCCGCTGAAGATGCCGTCGAATCGACCTTGCAAGGACCAGGACCATCAATCGGTAATAACAACGTTGATTCTCAAGATCTTCCCTACTTTCAACCCGGTGACGCATTCGGACAACCCACCTCCGCCCCTCACGACCAACAAAGAAACCTGGGCACCTACAGCCACCCCCAGGCAAGTATAGGGATACAGGCCGGCAGTTGGCCACGTGCCTTCGGACCTCAAGGTGCGAGATTCAATCTACCCTCATGAACCTCAGCTGAGACAAGACAGGCGACATACCTGTCACTCCCTCAACTCACCGGCAGCGAGTGGGTGAAACCACAGGTGTAGGCCTATCTACCATCCCAGGACTTGTGGTTGGAACGCCAAGATCACCTCGAAACCAACTGAACTCTTTTATTCCACCCGGTAATGTCTCGTCGAACCATTTTCGGGGCGCCCATACGACCTTTCCCACGACACGAATGAGCTCTGGTTTGAAAGCTGGACAAGGCGTCGATGGCGCCGGTAGCTTCGTACCTATTTCTTCTCGACTTAAAGGCAAGAAAGGTTTTATGCTAGGACCTAGACGCCCTTTGTTGTATATCATACTAATGATAACTGTATAGCCATACAACGGCCCTCTTTCCTGCACTCGACATCTCAGAACATCTCTAGTTCAACTCCACAACCGGCTGGTCTAACAACTGGAATCAGGAGTGGATGGTTACCTCAGCAGCAGAGAAACCCAACCATCTGAAGTTCTCTTAAGAACTCACGATTGCTTGCTGCTAAGATACATGCGATAGTGACTCAGTCGATGAATGTATGCAGTTTTTTGATCTGGGGGGAATCCGGCTATGGCCTTTGGCGATCATTAGTCATTGTTCGCTTTATTGTGTTTTACAATGCCTCAGTACTTAGCCAAGTCCTTGGAATTGGGCGAATCACAAACAAATAATCAAGGACGCCTTACATTGCCTGCTTAGCCATACAATGGAGAACAAAGGCCGAGGGAAGATTGTTTGCAGCACAATGCCTTTCACCGTTTCCCCTCAAATATATAAATTGAACATGCTGGCAAAGGCTTGCCCTCTTTTCTTGTCACTGCTTTTCTCTCCTCACTACTCTCTTTTTGGACTCTCGGCATCACTTCCTGACAGCACCCTATTTACTTACGATCATCGACGTTTTTATCTTCATCTTATTCCATGGCAAGATGGCGGCAAGTAGGAAGCCAGAAACTCGCAACTTTAGCTACCCCATTAAGCGGATGGGCGAGTTGTCTAGCGACCAGCCATCGTCATCGTTCGGGGAGTCCTCAGCGCGGGCCGCAGACAAAAGGGGGGGCTCCCCGGGGCGCCACCAGGCTGTTGGCCCAAGCCATGACGATGGAAACTTGAATAACAGTTATAGGGATAGCTTCCCCAATGTGGGAAGGCTCTCAAAGGGGATCACCGGCAAGACCGAGTCAAAACCATTGATCGATCAAACTAGCGTCAAGCCGCCGGTATTGGCACAAATGCCTGCTCGTCGAATCCGCCCATCTACAAAGCAGATATCGGCGCCGATCCCTCTGCGTCCTGCGGAAGGTCCTTCGAGCTCATCTGCGTATGAGGCACCTATCATTGATCCCAAAAATCTTGGCGTACCATGGGAGGCTTTAGGTTCCCACCCGATAAAGGAAAGCCTCAGCAGTCGATCAAATATCCAGGACGGCCAAGACACTAAAGCCCAAGATATCGAGACCCAAGACACCAAAGCCAAACGTAGGAAGTACATTGTCTGCGAAAAGGATGCCGATGATTCTATCGTCCTCATAAACCGGGAGCCTCCGGTAGCGACAGTAGACCGTATAGCTGAGCGTCGAAAGGGCCGAGTCTTCTCGACCAAAAATTGGCAAAAGCAGCTTGAGGAGCTTTCCCATTCTGCGAGCGAGGAAACCAATGAAGCTGGACAGGGGGCGAAAGCCCCCTTTGAAGGTACGATCCCCACCATAGAATTGTCGCCGCCATCAGATGACGGTAATCCCCAGTATGTTAATCCAGGGTTGCTTTCGGTCGATGATACCTTCAAAATTCTGTACCGCTCGGGCAAGAAGGAGAACCGCAGTCTCAAGAAGCACCTCCACAGGCTTCAACCGCTCGCTTGGCTTGTCTCTGAGGCCGAAGGCATCGATATCAACAACACGGCAGCGCTGGCCGAGGCACTCAGGGACATCATCGAAGATCGCCAAATGCTAATGAGTATCCTACCTCTCGCGGTTACTCTGTGCGAAGATCAGGGCATCGACTTTAACAGTAAGGCCTTCGAGGCCTTGCCTCAAGCTTTAGACGAGGTCCTCAACGAGAGAGACAGAGCCAAATATGCGGTATCGCATCACCAGAGAGTGAGGCAGCTGCTCGAAAACCGTGTGAGCCAACTCGAAGGCGAGCTGTCGGAGCTCAAGTCCGCGTCGTAAAGAAGAGCAAGCCTCACAAGCCAAGGTAATCCCGCGCCTTTTACCTGAGCTTACCCTGACGCCTTACAGTATTTATTGTCGGCATCACCGCCGATGCATGTTAGGCCCATGTTAGGCCCTCTCGGCGCTCGGAAGCCCACCTTGACGCTCCCGAATATATATCCTACTATCTCCTATCCTGTCGCATCACACATCCAGTAAGTCGGCACTCCACACATTTTACCCCCTTTCATCCTATCTAGTGTAGAACTAGGCATACGAGAGAAAGAAGTCGGACGCACTCCGTCTGACCTTCTTCCGGACTTCACCTGGTTTGGTCAGCCACATCCTCCCTTACCTAGGCCACAAGGTAATATCTATAGAACCGATAGTGCCGCTGGCGGCGCGGGTTCGCTGAATAATCTGATTTATTTTCTACCATCAAAACAAGATCCTCCCCTGCCTGACAGGCATATCGACTGCCAATAAGAGCACGTGAGTCCCTTTTACCTCCTAGGCATTCTCTCGGCAGTCTTGTACGAAAGCACAGCTTCTCACAGCTTCTCGGTCAGTCGAGCGTAGGGGAGTCATGGCTCCCATTCCCAAATCAAACCGACAGGTTACTCTCAAACAAAGAGTTTTGAAAGACGGTGTCAAAACTATCCTGGAAGCGCAGCCAGCAGTCGGAAACCAAGCTCGCGTTCACGTATGCGTGCGACCCTATCCAGTCGCCCGATACAATAGTCTATCTATCTACCTAGGTCAAAAGATGGTAGATAGTGTAAAGTGTTACCTACCATCATCCCCGACTCTCCCTCGGTCAAGTAGCCGGCGAGGGGCAATGGGAGGGTCAATAACACAGAGGACAAACAATACAAACTGAAAAGTAGTCTTAATCTTTAATAAGAGAGAGATGGAAAAAGGAACCAAGAGGGGTAGGAGAGAAGTGGTTTGTCTCAATAATTTTGGGAAAAAGTTTGATTTGGCATTGGTCGGTCCGTCCAGGGCGCGCGGTATGTACAACTACTAGAATGGATGAATGGATGAATGTATGAATGAGTGGAAAGAGAAAGTAATGTATTTTACTGTAGGGGATAATAAATGGGCGGGAGGTTTTGTGAAAAAAAAAAAAGAAGAAGAATGAATCTAGTTTGTCAATGAGATTTGAAGTTTGATTGTTGAGTTGTCTATCTGGTCCCGTTGGTGTTTGTCTTGCCTGTCTTATGTCGCGCGCGAATGGTGAAGACGATAACTTCATGCGTTTCGGCTTTGTTTGTTTGGCGACGCTTTTCCGAAAGAGGAACCTTGACAGATTGCGATATCAAATGAATATATATATATATATATATATATATAAAACCCGTTCATGGAGTTATGTTCCAAGATCAAAGTATCGTCAATTCCATTACGATGAAGTCGACAAGAGACAGATCCCTGTGGTAGAGAGAGAAAGAGAGAGAGAGAGAGTACTTAAGCCGGCCTAAACCGAGCGAGGGACAACGTACCAATCATTCCGAAAACGGTTCGCCTCTATGGCACAGGGGTAATGCGTGTCACTCGTAAGGAAAAAAAGGGTTTTCGGGTTTTCCCAGTCTACCCGAAGATACTTGCGGTGTTATGACAAGATCCGCGGTTCGATTCCGCGTGGAGGCAACGAATGATTTTTTTTTTTTTTTTTTTTTTTTTTGGTTTTTCCTTTTTCTGTGAATGAATTGAATGGAATGGATACGAAAAGTTTTCGTACTGATCGGTCCGGATGATATGGTGTTCCCGTGTTATTAAAAGCACACCCTTCGTGAATGCCTCGCCGTATTTACCGAGGTATAGTATAGTATAGCTAGCTAACTAACTAACTAGTTATTCCGTCGCCGGACAATTTGTCCGTGGTGATTAACATCTAGATACCAGTTACCTAACCTCAAGAGTAAGGCACGCGACAACTGGCGGGGCCTTTATAATGAGCTCATACGGTACGGTATCTATCCTATCTCTACTTTATTGTCCCATCCGGCTAACCAACTAACTACCTACCTACCTACCTACTTGATTGTCTCGGGTTCCGCTTCGTATATCATGACATTATAATTAACATATCCGACTAGGTTAACGAAAAGTGGTTCAGTCGGTCAAAAAAAAAAAAAACTTTGTATGTCTTGTTCTTGTTCTTGTGATTGCCGAGAGAGAGAATAAGAAAAAGTAAGTTCGCCCTTGCATCGCGTAAAAGACCTCGGAAAAGAAGACATCTGCCCCCTCCCCCTCAAGAAAAAAACGAGATTATAACGGTTCCGCCTGGTCATGAATACTACAACATCGTCAGTATCGAACAGGATCTGCTTCAACGTGCGGCTCTAGTTTCGAGCCGATCGGACGGACCCAGAGGAAAACTAATAGTAAAAAAGGAACCCGGAAACTGAACTGCTATTCACGGTCATTGAGGCAAATAGAAAATAGATATTAGTCGACGTAGTGATGACCATGCCTACCGTTTATCTATCTACCTACTTGCTTGCTTGCCTAGATAGATACCTGGTGATGGTATATAAGCCCCCCTCCCTCCTCTCTCATTTTTTTAGAAAAAAAAAAAAAAGAAAAAAAGAGAGAAAAAAAGAAATCACATCGAACATGGTCTCGGGAGTTTGTTTCTTCGGCCTTCTTACGAATCGGACCGACATGACATGACATGCCGGGAGGGGGAAGATATGTAATGCCCATTGCCCGAGTTGCCTAACCTAACCGGGTCATCTAGAAAGAGAGACGTATTGAAAAAAAAAGTTATGATGAATTGCTTGCTTGGACGATATCATATATACAAGGCCTGACTTTTCGCGGCCTAGATAGACAGTGAGTGACTGACGCCTCGTAACAGCGGCTCGGCTCTTCATCTGATGAAGATACGAGGTCGACAACGATCCCGAGGGGGAAAAGACCGGGTCGGCCCCCATCACTTGAGGAGGTATGTAGACTATAGAAATTCCCTCGACCGACTTGAGAATTACGTCGAGTCTAGTATATCTCAGCTATGAAAAAAAAAAAAAAAAAAAAAAAAAAAAACCATTGACCTCGTGTGAGTCCCTGGATTTAAAAAGTACGACATGATAAACTACAACTATATGGTTTCCCGGCGACTACCTTACCTTACCTTACCTTATCTACTTACTTACTGTACCTAAGCTTAGATTGAAATACCTGGGAGATAACACGGTTTGTCTCGCTCATCGATATCAATGGATTCGGGTAACTTGTTGTGAAGTTTTCCCAAGTCAAGTCCAAATCACTATAGTTTCCATTCCCGTTTCCGTCCCCGTTTCCGTACTCCCCTCCCCATCTCCCCTTACTCGATCCCCGATGTCTCCCCTATCTTCCCATTTGTATATCATATTATCCGCCGTGTCCTTGATAACAAACAACATAAAGGGTGTCATCGTGATCTGTGGAACGCCATAAGCGAAAGGAATTCCCACGACCTCTCTCTCTCTCTCTCTTCCTCCCCGTCCATTTCAAAGGGTGGGAAGGAAAGAAACGGTGGTAGGAAAAAAAAAAAAAAGGCGATAGAAACGGTTTCCCGAGATTCCCTCGTTTCAGTATGACTGACCATGTCGTATAGGTACCGCCGAATATATTCCCCCGAGCACAGTAGGTATACCTAACCTGTCTCCCAACCGGTCTCCCAACCTACCTACCTACCTAGTCTGTCCACCTAGTCTGTCTATCTACCTGGAATAGTCGTATTCCCCTCCCCCCCCCCTTCTTAGAAGATTCAAGATGAAGCCATCACCCGATAATATCACACAACATGACGACCCAGATTTTCATCCCGAACCAAGCAGTCGGTAACCGAAATCTCGCAGAAAGAAAAGAAAACCCGGGGATATGGGGAATTAGGGCCGTGAGATACCTGGCGTGCCTTCAAACGTCACATCGGGGACCACAGGATTACCGAGTACTAGGCAATCAAGGAAGACCAGCCGCTCGGGTCTGTTTTTTTTTTTTTTTGTTTTTTTTTTTTCGCTAGCTTATGCCCCTTTCGAAGTGTCAAGCATCTATCTAGACATTGAAAGAGTCTCGAGAATTGAGGAGATTGAGGAGATTGAGGATTGAGGGGGAGGAGGAAACAAAAGTCGCGTGGGACATTCAATCCGAAAGTTTCTTTTGGTTTTTTCTTCTTCTTTTTTTTTTCTTAGCTGCTGAGTACCTATAGTATACATACCTACCACCCGAAGCATTATCTATCTCTCTCTCCATCTCCCAAGACCCAGACGTTGTCATCACCCAAGTTATACCGTGATATCATACCAAACAGGCAGAATATCTCGGCCACGAGGAACGGTACTCCGATCAATGGGCGGGCCGCCCTTCCTCCCTCTCTCTCTCTCTCTCTCTCTCTCTCTCGCATCTTGACACTTCGTCGATCACGGACGATCCAGTCTTTCAAGTCAAAGTCCTTCTCTGCCTTGTCTTGCGGCAAGGGTAAGCTTGTACTCTATATATATATATACTGTGTTTGCAGTTGCCGTTGCCGTTGCAGGTACCAGACAGACATAAGGCATAGTTATATAGATGTGATCCTCGCCTTTCGACATTTTCACACGAGTTGTACACGCAAAGGGTCCCCCCCTTCCTCCCTCACCCCATGCCAATCAAAAAGATCCTGCATGTCTTTGGTATCCCCGTTTGTCTTAGAGAAAGAAAAAAAAAACTGTCTCATGACCATGTGAAAAAAAGGGTCAAAGTTGCGGTCCGTCGACCTTTGATAATCATCAAAGTCCCTAAACACTTCCTTGCCCCCCACCCTCTTTTAATACCTAGATAGATAGATTGATAGATAGATAGATGGACTGACTCCTTTTCCCGGTAGAGTCGGAGGAGGTCCGCTCTGCATGTCTGCACTGCTATGAATAAGCAGGCCCCGGACAGAGTGAATATATAATAATTAAGGGTTTAAAAAAAAAAAGGGGGGGGGGGGATTGTAGTATCTATCTAGGACTTTTCTCGCCTTCGCCAACTATCCAACTCTTCTCCTCTGTGTGCACAGGTTGCGTTTGCAGAGTACCACGACAGTCCCGTTAAGACATGACTATAATGACGCGCGCGCGCGCGGGAGGAGGAGAAGGGAGGAGGAGGCAGGGAAACGTGGCTTGTCGGCTAGATAGAAGTTCGCCAAAAAAAAAAAAAAAGGAAAAAAAAGAAACAAAAAAAGAGACAAGAGATTGTGTCGTGAAAAAGTTCCCCGGCCCCGGCCGTAATATAAATTAATTCTTCTAACCTAGATAACTATCTAGGACCGGAGAAGAAGAGACTGGGAATACGGTCTGTAGAAACGGGGCGTGATGATATGGATAGGTACCGTATTTAACTATCCATTATCAGGTACTACATATACAGATCATTACTGGCTTTCCATTTTTTACACACTTCCATTGTACAGTCTAACTACGTATAACTACCTACCTAGGTAGGTAGGTAGGTAGGTAGCTACCTAGACGTAGAGGTACCACGTTCTGATAAGTCATAAACGGGCGCCCCCCGCGGGTGTTTCACAGACCGCCCGTGGCGTTCCCACCGGCTTCAAAACATCTGGTGCCGACAGGATGAACTAATTTCTCATGTAATGCCTTCTTTCGTAGGGCTATGAACTCATTTACTTTACTTACCAGCATATAACTAGTTACCTAGCATACGGTCGCTTTGTAATTATTTGGTACGGAGACTCATAACTACCTACCTTACCTAGGTAAGTAGTAGGTAGATAGTGGACGAACACAGAACCGTACCGTCGCCATAGTCCGTATTACAAGTAAAAAGTGATGAACACATCCAGCAGCCGCCGCCGCCGCCCCCGGTTCCGTTGCTAAGTACATGCCCACTTAACAGATTACTTCGTCACATGAAACGACCAGGGTGGTCGATCCCACTGCTGGGTGTAGGTAGTTAACTATTTCCGTCGTCAAGGCATTCTCATTCGTTCATTACCATACGGGAGAACATATATGTCCGATGTTTTAAACTTCACTGTGAAGCTACGTGCTACATAAGCATATAACCCACCCATTAGACGACAAAAGCAAAACCGAAAGAAACAAAAAAAAAAAAAAGAAAAAAAAAAAAATCTCGCCATCCATAAGAAAAAAGTTGACTTACTCCAAATCTTCGCATCGTCGTAACCTCAGATAAGAAGACGAAATTCAAGCATAAACAGAAAAGAAAAGCATGTCCCACGACGTCGACTCGGATCGCATGCATCCTGCAGTGTAGACGCAGCTGTACTTGCCTACCTAGGTTTGTATGTAGATACCTACCTAAGGTAGGTAGTTACCTCAGATAGGTCATGTATATCTAATAAGCGCCCGTAGGATTCCTGACTGAGTGTACTGACTTACTAAAAACCTTGATCAAATCATCATCATCCAAACCAATCCAACCAAACAAAAATAAAAATAAAAATAAAAAAATAAAAAAAAGATAAAAGCAGGAGGATTTGCCGCGCCCCGCATTGTATGTAGATGGGACATACTTATGCGTGCTTACTTATAAATAATTTTAGAGTACCTAGATAAGGTAATAAGTCTGCATGGCATTTCCGTAAACTTGTATGTAGATAGGTACTCCAAGACGTTACCCCGGGGGAGGGGAGTCTTGATGTCGTATTCCCGAAT